ATATATAACGGCGTGACTCTACACTCCAATAGATAGGAATGCAAATCCCTTTTTATATCCTCGTAGCTGGTTTGCAAATAGGTCCTGTGTTCCCAGATATTTTCAACGCAAACGCAGCACTTACGAGTTTCACAATTTTCACATATTCGCAAAATCATAAGACAAATGTGTACAAGAGTGTTAAATCTTCGTCGGGCCGACAATACGGTTATCTTCTCGTTTTATTTCAATTACGTATCAGCCTTGAAATTGAGAAACTGTACCTTGGTTAATATTGCCCTGCTTTTACCAGGAAACCAAAACTCCAGCCTAAAATAATTATAGAAAAGTTATGATAATGTGTATAATTCATTTCAAAGCAAAACATTTATTGAAGAACTATTTAAGCAAGAAAGACATTCATGAAAATTTCCATTTGTGACCTATTCGAGCCACATAAAATTGTGGATTGATTTGGACCGTTTTAGAGATGTATATATATGACTTATGTCCGTTCAAGATTAAGATATAGTGAGAATCATTTTATGACCGATTATTTTCCTAGCGCTGTATGATATAGAGCTTCGATGATGATAAGCCTTCACTCATATGTAAAAATAATCGTTAGACGCTTGGTGTGGAAAAGATGTATTGATAAACAAAAGAGTTTTTCATCTAACTCAATAAACAGGGTGATTAATAAAATATATTTACTGCCAATCGATTTAATAAACTTCACAATCCTTTGAAGTAAATTTAATTATTGTTTGTCAAATCAACCTTGCATCTATTCAGGTTATCATTTAAATTGGTAATAACTTTTTTCCTGCACGGTGATACGGGCGGCAAATTAGCCGTACAAAACATAGTATCTACTATTTTGATTACCATCATCGGAATTTGGGCCATCGCTGACAAGCCGCAAATGACCACACAAGAATTGATGATGGCTTCGCAGGAGATGATCAATTCTTCGATTTTTTTAATTAATATATTCAAGCCTTTTTCCAGAGGTCCCTCGCACTTGACTATATCGGACTTACTCATCTCCAAGTTTTTCTTGAAACCTACAAAGAGACTCGTTTCCATCGCTAGTGCCCCGAAGAGAGCTGTGCGTGGCTCGGTTTTAGTCTGGGATATTAATGCGGTCGAGTTGTCCAACTGCTGGCCCTCAGTTAGCCAAATCTATAAATTATTGCGCTGAATTTGTGTGAGAAAATGATATTAAAACAGAGCAACATACGCTGCAGATTCCGACGAATAGTAAAAGTGATAAGTAGCCCATTTTGCCGCGACAAGCTCTAACTTCGGATTGAATTAAATGAACCAGGAACAGATCTTAAAAGGAATGTCACTCAACCCTAACTAAACGTGTTTGGCTCAGTTATAAACCCTATAATTTAACTTTGTACACTTTTAAACGAACTAAAATCAAGCATCTAATCTACGTGTCCAATTTGTTATTCTTACATCATTTCTGTATATACAAATATTTGTCCTGACTGACATATGTGATGTAGGGTTTCAGGAAATTCCTCCCTAATCTGGGGAAAAATCGCGAAAAACATTTATATGAACCTTTTTTGTTTGCCATCCGATCAGCCTCAAACTCATTTTCAAAGTTTCATTGCTTATTGTTCAAATTCATTAGGTGGAAAAGGAGTCAAAAATTGTGTGGGTGACGTTTCGTTCACTTCCCAACTATATATATTAAGTTGTTTTTATTGACTGACTGACTAACTTATTGGTGATCAACGCTCAGAAGTAATCGTAAGAGCTAGCAAGCTGAAATTTTCACTATATTTACCCTATGTGATGAAGCTGAACGTTAAGACGGGGTTTCGGGAAATTCCACTCTCGAAAAACGTTTGTATGAAATTGTTTAGTTTACCCTTCGATCGACCTTAAAATCAATTTTAAAGAGCTTTGCTCTAATCCAATTGAGTGTCTCTTACTTTTCCAAAAATGTATTCCTCATTGGTCGAAATGAGGGTCAAACATTTAGAGGATGACGCATCAAGCTCAAAACATCATTTGAGACGTGTTTCACATTTTTCGCAGAATCAAAGCATCCTCAGTAAAAATGCTATTCAAAGAAGTCTTAAGTGGTGTCCGATTCACTTCAAGCTTATTTACAGAGCTCTATATAAGAACTCAATGAATACGTGTTTCAGCGATTTTGGAAATTCCACCCACAAGAGTGGTTAAGTAGCGAGAAACGTTGGTAGGAAACTTTTTGTTAACCATCGGATTGGCCTCAAACTCTAAGATCTTTGCTCAAATTCATTTGAGTGGTTTTTTGCACTTTTTGGAAAATCCATCCCTTCTTGGTGAAAATAGATATCAAAGATATGGTGGGTGACTTTGCGCCTTCAAATTTATTTCAAAGGATCCATAAGAAAAATCATTTGACACCCGTTTCACATTTTTCGCAGAATCAAAGCATCCTCGGAACAAAGTGCAATTCAAAGATTTTTTTGGTAACGTTTTAATTTTTTCCGATTTGGATCAAAATTATTTTCAAAGCTTCGACTGTCACCAAATTCATTTTTGAATATTTCTGATACGTGTTTCACATTGTTCGCAAACAAAAGCTTATTTTACGAGCGATGCTCTATACTATAGGAAATGCATTCATTTTGTCTCACTTACTAGCACACATATGTTCAGAGTCTAGAGCCAGATTTCATGAAACCGAAAAAGTTAAACTTATAATTATCGATGTTTGGACTTCTTATTCGCTGGAATCATCTGGATCACTCTGTCAATAAAGCTGTCATGGAATTGATCGCTCGAAAGTTAAGTTATTAAACAAATTTTTGTTTAAGTTTTCTTAATACTTATGCCACTCACACATTTAAGCCCTACAGGGTTATGTGTATAAGAGTATTTGATCTTCGACATGTCAGTTTTCCTTTATTCGAATCATTTTGGACTATCCAAGAATAATTACTCATGTAGTTTTGTTGCACTATGACCTCTGCTAAGTGACTGGAGTGTGGGCTGGAGTGTATATAAAAGACTATCCTTCCCCTCAGACAAACAAAGCCAATTTGATAGCTCCAAGCAGGAGTGCGCTTGGCGTGCAGTTAACGAGCTGAAATTTGGGAGAAAAGTTTTTGTGTGTCACGCTTTCTTAATACTAAATATTACCCAAATATTGGATCTTTGGATGGGGCAACTAGGGGTGTTATTTTATTTGTGAACATGGCGCGGCAAGGGCTTTGTAAATTACTTAATCTGCATGCGAAGACAATTACCAATCAGCAGAGTATTAAGCGTTAATCGCTTTAAACAATGCCAAGGCAAACAAAACAGTTCAAGTACACTTTGGGGCACGCGATTGGCATTTACTGTCTTTAGCTAATTTTCGGGCAAGGAGCCACCCTGACCAGCAGCATTTAATGAACGGCACCAAATCGAAGAGGACAAACCATTTTTGGGGCAATCAGTCAACAATCCAGCACGAGGAGCTGGCACCCGCAGGTGCCCCATCCACAGAACGTGTCCAATTTTACTAATTAGAGCAAATATTTGACTACTTGATAAGTTTGGTGGGGCCAGCACCACCCATCCGGCACCGCCCACTCATTACCAACACGCTCACTTGAGGCACCATTTTGGGTCCTCTCTCCCTCCCTTCTGGAGCCAGCCGCCTGGCACGGAATTTAATTACGCTCGCAGCTTGAGGAGACAAAAATCAGTCAACCCCATTTGTAACCTCGGTCCCAGCCACTCAAGCGAACCGGCGCTCCATTTGTTTGCTAGAAATTACTTTTATGTGCCGTCCAAGTTTCCAGGAGGTCGGCTCGCAACCATCCCGGCGCCAGTTGCACTGGGCTAGATCCTTATACTCAGTTGTAGTTAAAGATTTGACTATGTTTGAACAATTTATTGAAGCGAATAGTCAAGTTTTTAATAGTCAAAAACACAATTCGTTTACCCTTTAATCGTGGAAACTATGCAACAGTAAGTCATCTGACAATTCAATTTCTCAGAGATTTGAACACTCAAGACGCTTCCATACTATACCAATTCTTCAATGGGATAATACATTTTAGCTTAAGAGATTAGCAAGGTTCAAAATGCGTCTTTAAAAAAAAAAAAAACTATTACCATTTGTAATTACTAATATTCTAACATTCAAATTATGTATGTTTTTATTGGATATGTTTCTTTTCAATATATATACTAACAGCAGCAAATCTCATCAAATCGGCCTCAAAAACATTTTTAAAGATCTTTGTTAAGTTTCATGATGTTACCAGTTCAAATACATAAAAGAAGAAACTGTATGAAAATTCATTTGAAAAAGATATTTACTTACCATCAGATCGTATTCAAAATCATTTTCAAATAGCTTTAAATTCCTCTGAAAAGGGTTGGTAAATGCGAGACACAGCTTGGATGAACGAACTTCCAAGTATTTGTAAAGTTCTTCAAGGAAATTCATTTTAGTGTTCAATCGCTCTCAAACTTATTTTCAAATCAGTACATAAAAACTTAATCAATATGTGATTCAGCGATTTTGGAAATTCCACGCGTAAGTGTGGAATTTTACCTTAAATTTTGCATCTTTTATTGCCTACCATCGGATCCGCTTCACACTTATTTTCATAGATCTTTGTGAAATTGTGAAGTCTTTTGGATGTAAAATGCAAATCAACCGTTTGATTCTAAAAAAGAGAACAGCCAGAATTAGTTATATCTAAAATTTTAAGCACAAAACTTGACACGGACAAGGCCGGGAAAAACCCGCTAGTGTTTTTCACAAATTGTGCAAAATGGAATAAGATTTTATACATCATTAGAAAAGCCTATAAAGTGGCGCGTGTTCGGCCCACGTTCAGAGAAGAAACTAGACCCATGGCGAGAGTCAGCTGGGGATTAGTCAGAGATTTGAACGCTTCGCTGATTACTAAATAAAAAGAACGTGCTGCTGAAAAAAATACAAGTATTATAAATTAGTGGGAACGTGTTGTCAAATGTGAAAAGATTAATTATTTGCAGAACTGACATGTGATCCACGTTTTATATATATTATTTTTGCTATTCTTCTTCAGCTGTTGTCAACCAAATGTTTCTGTTGCTTATGACGAAGATACTTCCATATACTTCAGCGATTTATTATATACTTCAATTTATTCGTTTTTTATAGCTTTCATCAGGGCTTCACGGCTCAAGCCAGTGGCTCGTCTTGCCAAAGTTTGTTGCAAATTTCAACAAAACAATAAAAATTTGTCTGCATATATTTATTTAGTAAAATTCTTTAATATTCCATAATTATTTTATATACAAAGTACTCAAGCTCATTATCGAAAACTTCTTAGAAAATTATTCTAAGTTTTTTAGATTCAAACCGTTTTTAAATGAAGCATAGTTGATGTTGTTTACATCGTAAATAAGATAATGGAATTCCGTTTAAAAGAGGTCGTTTGTCAGAGACATGTTGTTCCTATGAAGATATCGTAAAACAATATAGAAAACAGCATTGAAAATAGTTAAAAACTAAAGAAGCTATAAACAAACGCCGTTGGCAAAACAAACAGCACACAAATGGGGTTTATTGCTCTTTGCCAAAATTGGAACACTTTCTAGATGAAAGGATTATTAAGAGATTTTCTAAAAGAGAATCAAAAGTTTTGCCGTTTGCGAGAGACTCAATAATTCTCGCATTTTATGGTGCAAGTTTTATTCGTATTGTTTTGTTTTCATGGCCGACTCTTGCTCCCTAACCCGCTGAGCTCTGTAGTTTGTAAACTTTTCACTTCGTCCCATAAAATTATATAAAATATATCCTCCCTCAGTTGGTCTCCTTTGAGCATCTCCTGTCAATGTCATTTGCTGCCAGAATGTTGAAAGGAAACAATTTTGTGGCACTGCCAAAACAATAGCTGAGAGACTTGAGAGCAGATGCCCAAGAAAAGCACAACAGCTCCTTTGAGTATATGTTGAGTGCGGATAATTCGAAATAAGTTTTGAAGTCTGCTCTTTCGGATTGTTTATGCAAAACCTATTTTTAAAATTAAATAATTCTGATTATCTCATCCCATTTCATTTAAAGACTTTCAGATTGTTCCTATATGGGCTTTAAGTTCAAATAGAGTCCTTACAACATATACATTGCCTCTTCTTGCGCCAGTTGTTAGCGCCATCAACGGAAATGAGTCACGAGGGAAACCGCATAATTGTTGCGGTATCCGTATCCGTCCAACTGCTGGCAATTAATGCGTTTAATTAAATACCCCCACTCATACTTAACTGATGCAGACTAGTTTTACGATGGCATAAATTCTCAGCGTGAAACAATATTTATTGCTTTGGCATTACAGAAAAATTGTTTGCACAAAATATGTATATGAATATTTACCTCAATGTACATGCATATAAACAGCTATTCTGCCCAACTTGAAAATACCCTGTTGCCTGGTATTTAGTGACAAAAATGTTTACCAGATATGTTAGCAAAAAAAAATGTTAGCTGATTGTACTACCTCATGCTAAGCATCTTTATAGCTACAGGGTGTATACAAAAAATATTATTATTATTATTTTTTATACATCGCGAGCCTAACATGGCTATATGGTTTTGTGCAAATGTAGAAGGAGGCATCTCCTACCCTATTAAGAATATAGTTTCTTGGCCCGCATCAGTAACTGATTGCATCTAGCTATGTCCGTCCGTCTGTCCGTATGTCTGTCAATCCCAGAAACTTTACACTTTGCGCCTGTGCTGCACGAGCTTGATTCGGATAGGTGATAACTTTCTCTGTATCGAAGCAATCGATAAGAATCGTTGTTGAAATCCTATTTTTTGGGCAAATCGGTTTAGTTTTAAGTGCTAGAGTCTGCAAATGTGACACTTAGCTTCTAAAATATATAATGTACAGATCAAGTATGGTTTTATGGGTGTCGTCAAGTAAGCGCTATTGTCTTTTTGAGAAGAAATGAATATTCTATAGCACCATAAGATCTACTGCAGAACATTCAATCAAGCTCGCGTTTGGAAGACAGAAGTTTTTAAGGAAAATGTTTAGTTCAAGCCAAGCACAAATTGCAAGACTTTCTGTCCTACATGCTTTCACTTCTATGGTATTTTTTAATTGGTAAATGAATTATTTTTACAATATAATTTGATTTAATTTTAGACTTCATTAATATTTCTATACTATTATTTTACATTTAGGATATGGTCTCATGATATCAATCAATTCTTTTAATAGCATTTAATTATTCTTATTATTTTAATTATGTTATAATTTAATTTAAATCTTTTTCAATATTTTTATCTTATTACTTTAAGCTTAGGACTTGGTATCAAGATATCAACAATATTTATTTTTTTTATCAGCACACAACCCTGAATTCACACATCCTCGTTTTGTAAGCAACATTTTCAAACTTTCAGTAATACTTTTGTGGTTTGCTTTAAGTATTCCAATTATGCAGTTATATTGTTACTTATTTTAAATTTAGTGGAAATACTCACCATTGTCCAAACTTCCGGCGACAACGAGGCTAATGATGAGCACGCTGGCTCAAAACGAGATTTGTCAACTTATTTTAAGGTTCGCGCTGATTGTAAATTAAATGCTGAGAAGCAAACGGGCAAATTTAAAAAACATTACGAATGATGGTGTGAACTTTTTAGGGCTCTTACATTTAATGACTGTATGAGCAAGTTGAACAGTTCGGAATCGTTCGCCTTAAGATACGATTTCATGATCAAACAGATATATGTCCAAGTTAGCCGATTAGAATAGAAATTCCACTCACTAAATAATTAAAACAATTCAAACCCGTCCAATATTTACCTGTCACAGAAGACAAATACTTAAATGACAAGCAGAAAGACATCTTAATGAGTATATATTTATGCATATACACACGAAGTGATCTGTTCCCACAGTTCGTCTGCTCAAAAATAATTTCTTACCTCATCGTAAACGTTGATCTCGCGTGCCAGAACCCGAACCACACCAGGGAACAACTTGTTCAGATTTTAATTTTAAAAATGATGTGTGGCACGACAAACAAATTTATTTTCTTGTGAACTATACTAAGCAAAACTGCATAGATATTATTTAAAATAAATATATTCAAAAGAAAAGTTTGAATATATATTTAATAATAATACGTCGTGGTCTAGCGTCAAATAGGTCTTCCCCAAAGTGTCCCAAGCATTGAAGGAGATAAAACAGAATAATACGAATTAGTTTTTTTACTAATTAAAATGTTGTCTGGTGGAAAATATACATAAAAAAAAGCTTAAAAATAAATGTATTTATTTTTATTTTAGAGAAGTAAATTTAAAACATTATCTGAGTTTATTTTTGGTAGCACATGAAGATTTCATTTTCAGAATAGTTTTACAAAAGCAGCTTCTTTCTTCTTGGTCGCACATCAACAATGTTTAGTTTTTTTTTTTTTTTTTAAATTTTAGCTGCAGATAAAAAGTTAATTAGTTACCCCCTAAATTAAAACGCTCTTTTAACTGAAATAATCGAGTAAAGTATCCCTATTCCACTACACTTAACATTTGTTACATTTACAAACCGCACATTCTGTGAATCTATTAGCAAAGTATTGATAAAAGAAGCAAAGTACCGCTTTTTTAATTAAAATCTGATTGGCTTAGGTGGGACTTACCTATGCGCCGCAGTTTTCCTTCCAAAGGTATAAAAGGATTTGTTGTAATGATAGTTTCATATTATCCATAGCATCAATACGAAATTCGATAAAGCATCGAAAGCACACGAATTACTCGGCAAAAAATGTAAGAAATGTTGATAGTGGAATCAGATTATACGGTTTGTTAGTCGTCTATGCCCTGAACCCATAAAAATGGGTGTAAGGGTATATTGTATTTGTGCAAAATTCAAATGTATGTAACAGGCAGAAGGCAGCATCTCCGACCCCATAGAGTATATATATTCTTGATCAGCATCAATAGCCAAGTCGATCTAACCATGTCCGTCCGTCTGTCCGTTCGTCCGTCTGTCCGTATGTATGAACGCAAGGGTCTCAGAACATATAAGAGCTATAAACTTGAAATTTTTGATGTAGGTGCTCCTAGGGCCGATTTCCGATAATCGATACCTTACTCCGTTTCCAAGCAATCGATACAAATCGATATCGATATCCTGTTTTTTGGGCAATTTTGGTAAATAATAATAGCTGGAGTCACCAAACACATAGCTTCTAAAATAGATTATATATATGCATTTGATGTTGGAAGAAGAGGTAGAACCTCTTACTTGAAATGAAAAAATTAATGAAATGCAATTGCTTTTTTTTGTTTACTTTTTAGCAATTTAAATGGCAAATACTATCATTTTAAGGTGGCAGATAGTGATGGCATACTAAGTCTGCTTTATATTTAATTCAATGCACGAAATCATATAATAATATAAAAAATGTTAAGGGTCTCCTCCAGGTAATATACTACAGGTATACTATCTATTACTGATGTCAAAATAATAAACCTTTCGTATAGCCGCATTGTAAATTTAATTTGTGATTATAACTGAAAAGTACTTATATCTTCGGCGGAAGATTAAATACCCTCTCACACATTAGTGTTGCGCTCTGTCACGAGTTCGAGGCCTTTTGGGGAAACTATTTATGTTTTTTTGCTGGTGTGGCTGTTGAGTATAGTCGTCAACTAGTAATACGATCAGTTACGAGCTCGAACCCTGCCAAGGGAATTTTAATTTTAATTTATCTTTATGCGAACTGCATTTGGGGTTGGAATAAGAGGGTTCAGTGTATTCCCTAGTCGGGAGCTCCCAACTAGAAACTCTTGTTATAATATTCTGTCTTTTCTATTTCTAAGCAGTTATTATTGTACATGAGGTGATCCTGATTCCACTATGCTAAGCATTTGTTACATTTACAAACTTCACTTCCTACGAATCCATTAGCAAATGTCAAATGTCAACATATAAATGTCAATAATCCGGTTCTTAAAATAATGAGCTGATCGCCGTGATTTGACTTACGGCCTCTTAGTACAGTCTCCATTTAAATTTACATTTAGAGATATTACATATTTTTAAGGTTTCTTACGGGAAACCCTGCAACTAAATTCTTCGCAAATCACAGGTTCAAAAAATGTGGATAGTGAAATTAGGCTATAAGTGAAGAACGCTTCGACCAGACTCTTAATCGTCCCAATCCTTAAACAGAACATAAATTAAACCAAGTATATTGGGCTAGGATTGGTCAAGACATCTTGAAAGCACAATTTTTCAACAGAATCCTGATATAGCGCTTTACGATATTGTATACCGATTTTAAAAAGATAAGGCATATGTTTAAGAAAATGAGAAAAACAATACAAGGTACTCAACCTTGAGCGAGGATAGGACCTAATAATCTATTTGTTGACTGTTCATTCTTATCTGATATACTTGTTCGATCAGGCTAAAATCGACATATGTACGTACTGCATTAGAAACGGGAATTTGACGAATTAGGTATGGCTATATCGACTTGGTTGGTTAATAATGACATGGTTATTGATCCACAGACCTTAGAGGATGGTCTCCTATGCGCTTCTCATGTCATCTTAAAACTATAATACCCTCTATTAGGGTATAAGATATTATTGAGCACATGATTATACAGAAGAGAAAAGTGATCGAACGAAGTGCCTATGATGTGACCCATTCTGTATAGATGGAAATGGATGTTTGTATGGTTGGTACTTTCAACACTCTGCCTATAGTTGCATATAGGTTTCAGAGTTTGAAATTTGTTTACAATACCAAATTTGTTGGTGGCATGTTTACAGCGCCAAATGGGCAAACACCGAACTACATACAGATGTATACAAAAACAAATTTCAAATGGAATGTAAGAAGCGAATAAGAGAATGCTTACAATGCCGATAACCAAATACCCTAACCCACAAAATTGATAAAATGTCATAGGCCGTAAGAGAACTTTAGTGAGATTCAGTATATTATTTTGTAGTATATTATCATGACCATCTGCAAATGGGCATAAAAAGAAAATAAGCACACAGAAAACAAGTGTATGGAATAGATAGACATTTGTGCTTACGTACATACTTACGAGTATGTGGAATACGGGAATGTGCTGTGTGTGTTTGTGGGGAACTGTTGTATTCGAGCACTTGCGTGTCACTTGAACATGTTTTGTATTTTTATTTATTTTTTTTTTTTAGTCTCGTTTCTTTTTTGGAAACTTTTCCATTCAGGCTGCAAAATGTCAAAAGTGGCATCAAAATGCGCTGAGGGCCTTTATAATATGTCTTGGTGGGCAGACATATGCACATAGATACATATATATGTTTACAGAATAGACAGAACCCCTTTGAAGTCATTGATATAGACGGAGGCGAATATGGATTTCTTTATGCTTGAATAGCAGATAATTTTTTAAAAGAGTTTTATATTAATATATCCATAAAAAGTAAGTATAATAAAAATATATTCCATTGCGTATATTCTCAACTGTAAGCTTCAGTTAAATAATGTAACATATATATGCACATATATATGAATATTATGCGTTGAAGGTCAATTGGAATACGGCCGAGCAGGTTCTGTATATATATGTACATATGCACATACATACATATATGCAACGTATTCTAACGCATCTAAAGCATCGCCGTTTAAAAACGTCGACTGCAGCTGCAGCGACGCGTCGCAGCGACTCTTGTCATATGCTTGTTTGCTTGTTGGGGCCGCTGTTGATGTTGTTGTTGTTGTTGTTGTTGTTGTCGTTTTTGTTGTTCTTGCTGTTGTCATTTCGCTCGTTTTTTGGCACAAAAGGCGACGTGCATTAAAATTGATAGCCTTTGACGTGGGTGCGGGTTGCGGAGGCGCAGAAGCAAACAGCGAAGCAAAAGACGAAATGGAATTGACAGCATAGAAAGAGATGTCTTCAAAAGCATTGCCTTTTATTATGTACATACATATATGTATGTATTTACAGACAGACACACACATACATATGCACACATGCACATGTGTGCGTTGATGCTTTGCACTTTGCTTTTTGTCGCCTGCTTTAGCTGTTGTTGTTCGCGCTGGTGCCAATATGTCTGCCACAGCACAATCGAATTATATTCGTACCTTTGTGTGTGTGCATGTATGTGTTACCTGTATGTGTAGCTGTCGCTGTTTCTTTTTTTTTTTTTTGGTTTTTTTGCTGTGAGTGTGACATGTACGCAGATAACTGCCAAAGCAACAACAACAATAACAAGCACAGCAATTACCGTGGCCAAACAACAAACAATAGCATTAAGATAAAAAAAACATGAAAGTTTGTGTATAGCATAATTTGCAAAACGAAATAAAAAAAGGAGAGGAAACTTTGAAAACATGTTAAATAAAAGCAACACAATTAAATGTACTCCATCATCATAAACATACATATATTTAAATAATAATGTTAACTTTGACCTCTGTTTAAAGCCCATTTTGACTCCAGAATAGATAAAATATAATTTAAGAACTGCCTGTACTAACTGATTGAATGACTGACTGACCTACAACCCAGAGCCCTAACCTTAAGGGGAAACTAATTTTTTAAGAGTACATCACATTTACTTCAAGTCATTTATGCATGTATGTATATACTTATGTACTGAAGAAAACAGTTAAGAAGTTTAGTTTAGTTTAAATATTGCCCTACTCTGCGATTCTCATGATGGCAAGTTGTGTTGCAAATCTTCTCATATTCGCATTTTACTGCATCTCTATCACTCTCCCTCTAAATATATATATATATATCTCTCACTCTCTCTCTCTCACACACTCTCACTCTCTCTCTCTCTCTCTTAATAATTTTATTCTTTTCTCTTGTTACATATCCGACTCTAAACTGCTTTTTATTCCGCTCTCTCTCTTTCAGTGATGTGCGCATACTAAGGTTCACCTCCCGGGCAATACAAATTACATATTTGAATTGTTGGGTAAGTAGATGTTAACGCATGGATATATGCTATAGATATGTTCGTTCTACATTTTGATCCAACATGCATTTGGTTCGAAGCCAACTTCAAGGTCGAAAGAGTTCTCACAGGGTATATTTTGGCTATGTTATGTGGTCTTAGCTGGTTGTTTTGATCAAGTCATAAAAATTCCAAAATGAATGTGTATTTTTAGACACATAATCAAAAGGCCTTGCAAAGTTTCTAGTTTATTATCAGATAAAGCTATAAGAAGCTTAGGCAAATCAGTTATATGGCAATGAATGGGCATTAACAGCCCCCCACCATAAAGTGCATAGTTCAATTACACGAAGCTATAAACTAAGCTAGTTAATCTTATCGTTTGCAATTGGCTCGATTATCAGTTGAGAAAGTTATCGAGCTATCGAGGCTGCAGCCCGATTTAGTGTCGTCGCCGACATCGAACGGTTAAGTTGAACAGCATGCCACAAATACGCCCCCTGCCGGCGAGCCTGCAACGCACTGCCATTGAGGAGCTGAACGAGGTGCCCGAGCGCCTGGATGCGGATATCGCGGCACTGCGCACCTGGATCGAACAGCAGCCGCATTTGCGCGCCCGGCGCGATGATCAGTTCCTGGTGGCCTTCCTGCGCGGCTGCAAATTCAGCTTGGAGAAGGCCAAGTCCAAGCTGGAGAGGTACTACACACTGCGCACACAGTTTCCCGACTTTTACACCATTCGTGACGTGGACAGCGAACGTATCCACGAGCTGCTGCGCCTGGGGTGAGTCGATGGCCTAGTTCCACATGGGCGCATTTCGACAGCTGCTCTAACCCTTCGCTTGCCCGCAGCGTGGGGCTGCGTTTGCCACGCCCTCTGCACGATGATGGACCCCGCCTCATCTATGTGCGGCCCGGCTGCTATGCGCCGGACAGCTTCAGCTTTGAGGAGATTATGAGCGTGTCGCATGCTTTGAGCGCGTTGAGTCTGGAATTCGATGACTATGCCATAGTCCATGGCTGGCTGCTGATACTGGACTTTAGTGGCTATACGCCGGCTCACCTGATGCAGATGACGCCGAGCGCACTCCAGAAGATGTCCGTCTTCGCAGAGGACGCGATGCCCGTGCGGGACAAGGGCAGGCACATGATAAACACCAATGCTGCCTTCGAGGTGGGCTTCAACATGATGCGATCGATACTGCCCGCCAAGCAACAGGGACGAGTACGTATTCCAGCCAGCTAAAGCTCTGCTCTCATATACGGCCCACCTCTCTCCCCACAAAAGATCTCGGTGCACGGCAGCAATCTGGAATCGCTGTATCCACACATACCGCAAAGGTATTTGCCCACACATCTGGGTGGTGAGCAGGGCACCATTGAGGAGCTCAAGCAGCTCATGTGGGCGACCTTTCAGGAGCAGCGCGAATACCTAAGGTCGGAGGCAGACTACGGCGTAGACGACAAGCTGAGGCCAGCCGGACAGCGTTACGACTACAACAGCATTTTTGGTGTCGATGGATCATTTCGCAGATTAAACTTTGATTAAATGCAGTTTTTAGCAATGCAAAAGGATTCCTGTATATACCCTGTTCGCCAAGTAAAATGATTTATATTCGTATATTTGCTCTTTCGCAGACTTGCTGTGCGTCCCTTTGTCCCTTGATTAAAGCTGGAAGTAAATATTATCTAGTCACAGTTTAAAAGGCACTGCTCTAGGCCACAGTTTTAGAGTCAATATGTCAGTTATCACTAACTCATTCCTACTGATTTGATTAAACAGTCCTTAGAGTATTCCGTCAGCAATATTATTTATCTAAAAATCTATGAATAGACAGATTATACCAATTCGCATTTCTTAAAAAAAGTTTAAATTAATACACTATAAAATATTGCAATTATATTGCTTAAATGCCAGCAAATGCATGGAAAGCAGCCCATGTATGTATATAAATAGTATACAACATATATAAAGCTAAAGCAGCTCCTCTCATTTCTTCCAGATCTGCTATAAAATTCTTTCTTATAGTATTATAAGTATTATATTATATAGTATTTTATATGTGCAGAAAAATGTGGAAAGGAGGCAACTGCGAGTAGTTAAACTAAATGTGTAATTTATTTAACATCGAAAAACCAACAAAATTAATTGTGCAATAATCTATTTTATATTTTTTAAAGTAGCTTAGCTTTTACTAGTTAACTTAACACACGTACAAGGGTATTAAATCTTCGGCGTGTTATTTGTAGAATTTTCATTTGCATTTTCATTTGGCTTGGCATGAATGGAAAATTGGCGCCCACGCGAAATAATTCCGCTAATATCTGTGTGAGCTGCATGCCTCTATTTGTTTTCTGCTTATACGAGTATATACTTAATAAATTGATTTATGGGCAAAGTCTTCAATGAAATCGTAAGATTGAGAATCATTCGCACTGGCCATTCACCTGGCATAGCACCCACGGCGTGGCGCCACCTGGCGGCTGCCGCTTGAATCAGTTCACAGAGAACTTAAGAAGATATATTTATATTGAATTTGATGCTTTAAGCATGGAAAGATATGAGAATTAAAGCGGTAGTTAAATTGGAAACTCTATTTGAAAAAGCATTTTATGTTCATAGATTTATATTGAATTCTATACAATTATGATTGCGCGAAAAGTTCCAAATTGTTTTTTGGTTTGAAACAAAAATAACACCAGCTATTTATATTCAGCCAGGTCCTTGTCAATAAACAAAATATAGGGTTCGATTTTCGATTTTGGTAGTGATAGAAAAATATTTGTTTGTCCAGTTTTCTTTCACACTCGAAAACCGCAACGAGCTACATTTCATTCTGTTATTGAATTCCTTATAAAATTGTTTCAGGCCGTCCGATTAGTATTTATGTGTAATAACTTATTCTCTCTGGCAAGGCGGCCGAAAGATCTAAACAAATTGGCTTTGTTTCTTGGCCTTGCCAAGTTTACTGTGATAAACCTTAATATAAATGTGCGATGCCAATTGATAAATCTCAAGTTTAACGATCTATCGATCTTGTCAATTTGCATACCGAATCTGAATAGTCGTAAATTAATGTTATTTCACGAGTGCTAAAATTTCAATGTGAAAGGTTGTTGAGATTTGCGACTCATCGATTGATTTTAATGTTATGCCATAAGATTGCAGAACGAGTTGAATGAAGCTGTCGATGTTTGCAAAGACAGCGCACTGAATTCATAAGTATACATTACTTATAAAAATTCTGTTTTCTTTTAGCTTTTAAAATGAATGTAAAATGCTATAGCGCTTGTGACTCACTACAATTTCAAAATATTTACAAATGCTGATAATTTCTTTCTGCGAATAGAGAGACAATTGCTAATAGGTTAAGATCTTGAGCTCTGCAAAATGCTTACAAAAGTGTTCATTCGGGAAAGCCTGTCTGTGTCCATCTGGGAAGTCACGTGTCAGTCTTCGATTTAATAGCAAGTGAACATAGTGCAATTAGAAGACATTCATCTAAAGCGGCTATTAATATCGTTAAATTGCATTAATAGAGGCTGCATCCATAGGCTGGACCTATAATAATATCATAATAATATATAATAATATCATATAAAAGTCATAATTGGGCTTATCGAAAACATCAAGAATTATAGAACAAATTTGAATAATGCTTACGAATCAAATGCATATGGCGAGCTTAGGCCTGGTATAGGTTGAAGTGTTGACGGGATGGTGGCGCTCCTTAATTTGAGAAAAATGCTGAAATTGCCGGAAATGAAGCCAAAGCATTAGTCAGAAATTTTTGAGTCTGACTGTGGCTAGTTATGTGAACACGTTTTTCTTTCTTTTTATATATAATGGGCCATTAATTTAAATATCGTTAATACCATATATATACATAAAGTTATATTAACAAGCTCAGACTCTTTTTCATGCAAAGAAACGACCCCAAATTATACTTTGTTCCATTTCTTATTAAAAGTTGTTTGGCTTAACAAGACGGTTATGCCAATATCTCTGCACCTAATCCCATTCCTATGCCTGCGTAGTCCGCTTATTAAGAGCTCTAATTGTGCACTTGAATGATTAATAAGCTTACTAAAACAGACTCCATTCATGTGCTTTAAATAAGGGCTTTTAATTTAATTACGTATACTTAATATAAACATTTTATAATTGTTTTAGCTTAGATGCTTGTTTTCAAAATTTATAAGTAACTGCCTTTCGAATATGTCAGCTCGTAATGGTTTATAAATTTATCCATTACACAATTGAACATATACAAATTTAAAGCCTCACTATGAAAATATTCTCCCTTTATCCCTTATTGCCTTCACCTGAATTTATAAAAGTTTATTTTCGTATATTTGTTCATTTGTAGACTTTCTGACTGTCCGTTTGTCCCTGTATGAAAGCTGGTAGATATCAATTTGTTGGTTTTTCCACCAAGAAAAGTTACGAAAATATTTTCTCACAGTTTAGTCACAGTTTAGAAGTCACTGTTCTTTGTCACAGTTTTAGACTCAACAAGCCAGATTAAACAGTTCTTAGTGTGTTCCGGAGCGTGTTCTACCGGTCATTAATATTAGGTATCTTAAAACCTAAGAATAGTCGGAAAATGATACCAAAAAATGCTTAAATGCATACAGAGTAGAATATTATAATTACAATGCTTAGATCCCGGCGAATGCACCACATATATAAAGCTAAAGCCGTATTGAATCTAGCTGCTTTCATTCCGTCCAGACTTTTTTCTTATACACTATCATTGAGTATTATATACATGTAAGAAAATGTGTAACGCACCGAAAGGGACATCTGCGAGCACTTAGGGTTCTTTAATATTTATAATGTAAGATGCCTGCTTAAAAAAGTTGGCGAGGCGCAGATGTTTCTGGTGCTCGCTCGAGAAAGCCTGTCAGGTTGATATGAATGCAAGGTGCCCGAACCAGCCTTTATAACAATAGTTAACAAAAGAATCTGAACACAATTTAAGCACAAGACGAAAATCTGATTTGATCGGTTTTTGCGAAGTTTTTTGTCACGATCTGAATCATGAGTCTGGCCTCAATTTCATATAAAGTGAATATAATGCAATTAGATGAGCTTCTTTCAATTATAAAGCGGCTATTAAGACCGGTAAATTGCACAATATACGGAAGCCATTAAGTCTACAAATAGAGGTTGCATCGGTTTGCTGGATCCATTCCAGTTGGAGCTACAAAATGGTATCAAAAGCAATCGTTGTACTGGTTACATGCAGCTTGATTAACTTGGGTGCCAGTGCAGATAATTCCTGTGAGGATGACCCGAACTTAACTTGTCTGATTAAAGCGTTTATGAAGCCGTATCACTCCCTGAAATGCACGGTCGAAGCTGCCGAGGCGATACGTAACGGTAGCCAGGACTTTGAGAATGCGGTTTTGATGTGCAGCGAAGACAACAGAAACTCCGAAAAGGCCAAAGAGTTCTACACCATTGTCGAAAACATCAAGATATATAGCGACAAGATTAATACTGCTTGCAAATCTAATGAAGATGACGAACTGAAGCCTGGTGTATTTTGTGGTGTTAAAGCGATGTCGGCATTCCTTAAGCTGAGAGAGTCTATGAAGAATGCAGAAACTGCTAGAAAAGAAGGTACAGCATTAGGCAAAAGCTGTTTCTTCGACTTTACGACAAGTTATGTAAACACATTTCCTATTCATCAACGGCGATTGAATAAGTGCATTTTTGAGCAAACCGAGACAACTCACAATCCGACTTAAAAGTAGACACAAAATTTAAAGTGTTTCACATACATTGCGCCATTAAAATTATCATTGTTAATACTAAATATATAAAAAAAAAAGTCAAAGCGAGCACCAATTTTGGTTGGCTCCATCTTGTAATAAAAGTTGTTTGGCTTAACAGCAAGGTTATGACAATTTCTCAGAAATTAATACCCTACAGCTCCAATTGTTTGCTCACTAAACCAATCTCCATTAATGTGCTTTGAATACCTACAACAAATAATACGTAAGTGTTCTTAATTAAATTACGTACACTTATTATAAGCATTTTATGACTGTGATAGCTGAGAAACTTGTTTTTATATATATTACCCAAATCAGCGTGTACGGATTGCCATTTTCTAAGATTTAAAGTCCCACATTGAAAATATTTTCCCTTTCTCCATTCTTCTGACTTCATCTGCATTCGCACACTCACACTCTTACTTGAACTCTTTATATATAAAGTATTTTACTATTTGACAATATACAAATATTTATGTATTTTAAGTTGTCGTACATGCAAATATGACAGTTCTAAATACTTTCGGCAAAATATACATAACTGAAAACCAGAATTCTCTGGAAATTGGCAGAAAGCGTAAACAAACTGGGAACAATTTGCCCTGACACCGAACACTGTACAATTAAATACTCCAAACTTTAAACAAATAGAAAATAATAAAATAGAATGAAATAAAATAGCAGCGAACATAATAGTATGAAATAGAATAGAATTTCGAATTTACTATTTGTGGGTCGCAGCTGCTCACTTTTGATTTATGGTCGCAAATATTTACTTGGCGTATTTAAATATACGAAGAAGCTTTTCATTAAAATCATAGAAATAGAAACTAAATAAATATTGCCTATGACAACAAGGCAATGTGCCTCGCTCTTTGTTTACTCATTGGCCAAGGTTATAAATCAAATTGTCAAAATAAAGGCTAGAACCAACAGGTATCAGCGACGTGCCGAAGCACAAATACACTTGCCAACAAAAATATTTGTGCCAGCTTTATAGCAGCAGCTCTCATATTGAACGAATCAATCATATTTAAAGCACATTTAGATACCCTTCTAAAGGTTTGTATCGTTTTCTCATGAATTGTGTAACGCGCAGATGAACTTATCTCCGAACCCAGAAGATATATATATTTCTGATCAGCACCAACAACTGTCTCAATATAGCCACGTACGGATACTCCTCTTCAAGTATCTCAATAGTAGAGTAATTTAGCATTGTATCTGTCCTTGCACTTATCCAGCCTAGAGAGAGACCCAGAGGAGACCTACTGAGAGGAACCTTCAATAAAAAGTTAAAAATGTATTCTTGTTTCAATAGCGTATCAAATTTTAAGGTATTAGAGCATTGTTATTGAATTTGCATCGACTTTATTTATTATGCATTGCTGCTTTTTGCTTTATTTAATGTATGCTTTATTATATGTATGACACCTACGAAAATATTGAAATAACTAGAAAATCTAGTTTTAAATTATCTATATACATTTCTGTTTATATTAATATTTTAGCTATTGCGAATTGCTTCGCTTGGCGCGTATCAACATTTTGACTTTTTTCAAAGAGTCTATCCCCCCAAAATAAATAGCATCTTTTTTCTGCACATTATGAGCATAGTATTTGCCATTTAAATTGCTGGAAACATAAAAGTAATTAAAATTCAATTCGTTTCATTAAATTGCTGCAATTCATACCTATATGAACAATGTTTGTGCCACCAACCACCACCATGATAGATTGCACAGTTGACAAAATCATGCGAATCATTATCACGATCGTATGTGGTGAATTTCTCATTTACATGAAAACGCAGAAAGTCGCCTGTTGCATTGCCCTCCCCTTTGCCCAAGGTGATCAGTCTGTATTGATCGTCCTCGCCAGAGATAGCAAATTGATCATATCTGTAGTATTTGATGATACCATCAAATCCTTCCATATGTATGTACAGCTCATGGGGTCGAGCGCGCGTCAAGCGATGAATCTTCTCAAGTCCTAAGAAGAAGTCACCATCAAAGTTTCCAAAGCCGGAACGGTATGAGACCCATTTCCTATCGAAATCCTCCTTACCATTGATTCGCTGCTGGATAACCGTCCAGCCAGGACCTGCTGTCACACTGTCGCAAAGTACATCGACCGGATCATAATTGGGAATAATTTTATGAATACCCGGAGCATCTGCAAAATGACTACAATCAGTGCAAACAGGTTGCTCCTTGCAGCTTTTTAATTTCTTGGCACAGTTGCCGATTTCGTTCTTGACTTCGTTTATTTGTTGGTCCTTTGCATTATTTATCTTCTTTTGTTTCTCCAGCTGCTTTTCATAGTCTTGGATTTTAAAGGCATTGGAGCTGAGTTTACCCATTTCTTCTTTTATCAATAAGACGTTCCTCGTTAGCTCTTTGATGGTCTTTCTGTAGAATTCATTCTGAGCTCTCAGTTCCTCGATGACCAATTCATTACGTTGGTTCAGCTTTTCCCGCAGTTGCTTGATTTCTTTGTCTTTGCTTCCAACTATATTGTTATTGTTCTCAATTTCCTCCTTTATCTGATGTATGTACTTTAATAATGGTCTCACAGATTTATAGGTGTGCTTTCCACATTCCTCCTCTGTTATGCCGGTTGCCGAACAAGACTTATAATAAATTAGCATTTATTTTCTGCATTGCACATGAATATCAAATACTACCTCATTTTCATTAAACACTGCTTCAGCTATAATCAGGAATAAGCCTATATATAGAACATATAGAAGCAGAATGCATTTCATTGTATTGCACTGTGATTATGGAATGGTCACTCAGCTGCACTCATCTGGACTTAACTCAAAAATAGACTGAAATATGGAAATCAATTGAAGCCTGGGGCCCACAATTTTTCTGAAAATGATAAGCGAGAAGCGGTAGGTCAGAAACTGAAGAAAACATAGTGCATGGACTCTTGGTTCAACTGATTACAAGATTACAAATAGAGAAGTTCATTAGCTTAGGCTTCATCTGAATACATAATATGAAATTGATTTATTATGTCGAGGAAACATGCGAAATGCAGCGCTTATTATTGTTTCTATAGAGTATAATATAAGCTTATGTGTCCCTGCAAAATATAAATGGAAATTGCGTGCTTGAACTGGTTCGGTTTAGCTTCGAATAAAACGTTGCAAATGTGTTGGCAAAATCATAATGCCACTGTAAGAGTATGCTTATATATGTATGTATATGCATATTTATTGATGATTTTCGCTTATCGCACATGCGAATCCGCGAATCGCGCTGAGTTCTTAAGCAAATATTGAATAGTGGCAAACAAACGAATTGATTCCGTTGTTTCCATTGGTTCCACTGGCTCTAAGCGCCGGACTGGCTCCCCCACCGGTTATTGAGCGCCCTGTAACGACAACTGGCAGACAAATTGATTTTCGGCTACCCTGTTTATTTATTTAAAATTCTTATTTATTTATTTGCTTGACTCGCGTCCGCCGTGCGCTGACGTCAACCGCGGCGGACATACATTTTGGTACTTGCGATTCGGACTCGGACTCGGACTCGGACAGGGGCGCGTGCCATGGGGCGAAAGTATTTCTTATTTTTGGATGGCCTAAGATAATCGCAATATGGCAACATCATCAGTCGCATTGGCGATTAGTCTGTCGGTTGGTTGGTCAGTTCGACATTTGTTTTGCATTGACCTTGAAACAAAATCGAAAATTGCGGCAACGGGTTGCTGAAATATTTGTTTTGACTTGGCATAAATAAGAACTTTTACAAAGCAACAAATCAGCTGGGCCAAAAATAATCAAATAAAGCCTGCGAGCACCCAAGACAAAATACATGTACATCGAAATTTTCGAAAATCACACATAAATAATGGCATCTTCAGACGTAAACTAAGTACAGTACTTAGAAAACAGATGCAACATTTATAATCTTGAATCCACTTGAACTACAAATTTGAAAAGTCAATTTGTCATATATTAAAATTGCCTATTGTGTAGATTGAAAATGTTTATAGTATTCAAAATACTCTTGTTTCAGAATTAATCTCTAATGGACTAACAGAAATATGTTGATTATACATAATATTTTATGTTGCAAAAGTAAAACATTGCAAGCATTTACATGTTATAAGAAATAAATCAAAACACAAGCAGTTAAGCAGGGTTACAAAGCTCATTGAAGCTTCGAGAAAGCTTAAGGTCGCTTTATTTTAAGATTAAAGCTCAGCAAGCCTGAAGTCTAGTTTAGATTAAAGTTTTAGGATTCAACTCGTATCATTTCACATTTTTTTGTCGCATAGCAACAATGTCCGAATTGATAACGTATGCCAATAACAGCTCGGAGCGTGTCGAGTGCAATTGACGTGCATGTGATCAACTAAATGTAAACACAACCAATTGTATCTCAAAGATACACAAAAGCCGATTTTGCAATTTCATATAAGTATGTATGTATGTATGTATTTTTATTAAAAATTTGTCGGACTGCCCGCCAGCAAAGTGGAAATTTGATGAACACTGCGTGGGGTCAGCCAACTAGTATTTTTCGTAGACTCATTTCCAGTTGCTCGCCTCTGACAACCCCCACGGTGCGCAATGTCAGGTAATTATAAGTTTGGCAAGGGCCCAGATACATTTATTTTCACATATTTATTTTATTTTTGCTACGTTTGGTTGTATGGCACAAGTGTCCCGCTGTTGCTGGCGCACTGGAGACTGCGTATTCTAAAGACAAATATGAGTTACCGCCTGTAAGTCACATTTTTAGCTACTGTAATTCGTTGAAAATATAACAAGACTCCCTATTAAGTAGGATAATTTTAAAATATTTTCAATGAACTATTTGTTAAATACATCGAATAAGCACATACTATACTATTGAAAGCAGGAAAGATTTTGGAATATAACGAAAATCATTAAGAACCACAATTTCAATACGCATCTTATGACAACGTTTTGTCTGAAAATGTCCCAGTCCTTGGGATCCTGCGCCTTAAAGCAGTAAGCCATTATATATCTAATAAAATAATAATATTAATAAAAATAATAATAATAATATTTATAATAATATAAATAACAATAACATTATTAATAATAAAATAAATAATAATAATAATAATAATAATAATTATATTAATATTAATAATAATATACAAACCAATCACAATAACAATATTAATAATAATAATAATAAAAATAATAATAATAATAATAATAACTATAATAATAATAATAATGATATTAATAATAAAGATAATAATAATAATAATTATAATAATACTAATAATATTAATAATAGTAATAATAATATTAATATTATAATCAACTGCAGTACTTTAATATTTTAAATATTGCTTCTTTTATTTGTCTTAAATTCATTTCATGTAATGTGTTAAACTCGAATCAGTCAGATTCGACATGCATACCATTTTTAGGAAGAAATTGATGTGTGCACAATTATTCTGTTTTGCCCCATTGTACAAGCATATATGATTGCCATTTGGCAACGTCGACCCACTTAATTGCCAATCGGTTGTCAGTTGCCGTGTGTAGCGATGTGGCCGCATTGGCCATTAGATCATTTTTTTCTCTTTGCATAAAATAACAGATTTCCGTCAAAACAAACAGAAGGTAAAAATGTGTTTAGATGCGATAAATTCAGAGAAAAACAAGAAAAGTGCGTCAGCAATGCAAATTTTGTTTTTCTGTTTTCCATTCTGCGAGTAGTTCAAATTCTTTTTCTGCTGCCTCTCGTCCCTTGCCAGCTCTGCGCTTTATCTCTGTTTCTACTTTGCTTTATTTTGTTGTTCCCAATTTGTATGTTATTTTGTTCTTTTTGTTTTTTATTTTATGTGCCTGTTTATTTGTCTAGTGACTGCAGAGGATTTTAACCTTACGTCTCATATAGAGATATGCAATTGTTTTTCTGATCTTTACTGATCCCAGTGCAGTATCTGTATCTGTATTTGTATCTGTATCTGTATCTGTATCTGTATCTGTATCTGTATCTGTATCTGTATCTGTATCTGTATCTGTATCTGTATCTGTATCTGTATCTGTATCTGTATCTGTATCTGTATCTGTATCTGTATCTGTATCTGTATCTGTATCTGTATCTGTATCTGTATCTGTATCTGTATCTGTATCTGTATCTTATCTGTATCTGTATCTGTATCTGTATCTGTATCTGTATCTGTATCTGTATCTGTATCTGTATCTGTATCTGTATCTGTATCTGTATCTGTATCTGTATCTGTATCTGTATCTGTATCTGTATCTGTATCTGTATCTGTATCTGTATCTGTATCTGTATCTGTATCTGTATCTGTATCTGTATCTGTATCTGTATCTGTATCTGTATCTGTATCTGTATCTGTATCTGTATCTGTATCTGTATCTGTATCTGTATCTGTATCTGTATCTGTATCTGTATCTGTATCTGTATCTGTATCTGTATCTGTATCTGTATCTGTATCTGTATCTGTATCTGTATCTGTATCTGTATCTGTATCTGTATCTGTATCTGTATCTGTATCTGTATCTGTATCTGTATCTGTATCTGTATCTGTATCTGTATCTGTATCTGTATCTGTATCTGTATCTGTATCTGTATCTGTATCTGTATCTGTATCTGTATCTGTATCTGTATCTGTATCTGTATCTGTATCTGTATCTGTATCTGTATCTGTATCTGTATCTGTATCTGTATCTGTATCTGTATCTGTATCTGTATCTGTATCTGTATCTGTATCTGTATCTGTATCTGTATCTGTATCTGTATCTGTATCTGTATCTGTATCTGTATCTGTATCTGTATCTGTATCTGTATCTGTATCTGTATCTGTATCTGTATCTGTATCTGTATCTGTATCTGTATCTGTATCTGTATCTGTATCTGTATCTGTATCTGTATCTGTATCTGTATCTGTATCTGTATCTGTATCTGTATCTGTATCTGTATCTGTATCTGTATCTGTATCTGTATCTGTATCTGTATCTGTATCTGTATCTGTATCTGTATCTGTATCTGTATCTGTATCTGTATCTGTATCTGTATCTGTATCTGTATCTGTATCTGTATCTGTATCTGTATCTGTATCTGTATCTGTATCTGTATCTGTATCTGTATCTGTATCTGTATCTGTATCTGTATCTGTATCTGTATCTGTATCTGTATCTGTATCTGTATCTGTATCTGTATCTGTATCTGTATCTGTATCTGTATCTGTATCTGTATCTGTATCTGTATCTGTATCTGTATCTGTATCTGTATCTGTATCTGTATCTGTATCTGTATCTGTATCTGTATCTGTATCTGTATCTGTATCTGTATCTGTATCTGTATCTGTATCTGTATCTGTATCTGTATCTGTATCTGTATCTGTATCTGTAATCTGTATCTGTATCTGTATCTGTATCTGTATCTGTATCTGTATCTGTATCTGTATCTGTATCTGTATCTGTATCTGTATCTGTATCTGTATCCTGTATCTGTATCTGATCTGTATCTGTATCTGTATCTGTATCTGTATCTGTATCTGTATCTGTATCTGTATCTGTATCTGTATCTGTATCTGTATCTGTATCTGTATCTGTATCTGTATCTGTATCTGTATCTGTATCTGTATCTGTATCTGTATCTGTATCTGTATCTGTAT